AAATATATAAATAACTACACCATCATTCTCATTCATATGATCTTAATAATTATACTTTTAGTTATAGATTTAAAATTTAATTTTTTATTTTTTATTAAAAAAATAAATAATAACTTCAAAACAAATCATTAAAATTATGGAATAGTAATAATAAATAATTTTATGCAGTGATAATTTTACACAAATTTAATAAATCTTCCAAATGTATAAAAAAAAAAAACGAAGATTCATCCAAATGTTCCCCAGTAAAAGAAGTAATAAACCGGGTCAAACAAGCCAGCCGCTACTGTACATTCAATGTCCACACAGTCCACGCCGAATGGAATGTGGAATGTTCTCCTTTCTTACTCTTTACTCCTAATTGAAAAGTCTTAACTTCCGTGCTCGATTCTATGACCGCCACCGCGTTCACGTCGCACTGAGTCATGATTTCCCAGTTACACTGGACTCTCGCCTCGCCTTGTATCGGACTCAATGATCGTCACCGTTCTCGGCGAAGCACAGGGGCTTTGCCGCCGTTCTCTGCTCAGAATCCTCTTGAATGACAACATCCGACTCATGGGTGACCTGTAGGAGCTTGACTCGCCTTCAAACCCCTCGCTGCTCCTTCTCGGAACTTCCAATGACAGCTTTCTCCGTCCCCCAAACGACGGCGAACCTACCTGTTCACAAGCCGCATACATCCCTGAAGCCGAGACCGAACCGGACTCTACTCCTGCTGATTCGTGTACGGTCAAAGCTACATCACCTGGGTTCGTCGGCGTTGGCTTGTATTCCTCAACCGGGGCCCGGCAGAGAGGACAAGTGGAGTGAGAGTAGAACCACATGTCAATACACTCTGTGTGGAAACTGTGTTTACACTTGGGCAGAATCCGACCCGATTCGTTTTCTTCAAACTCCGACAAGCAAACGGCGCACTCCATGACGGAGTCGGGGTGGGTTTCGGCGGAGTATGTGAAAACGGGGAGAGACCTGAGGACACGAGCCTCGAGACCACGCGAAACGGTGGTGGCTGGGTTATAATCCGAATCTACATAGAAAACGACGCGTGTCCGACCAACGCCACGACGGTGGGCTACCAAATGACGGCGGCGCGCGCGGAGGATGAACCAGCGGGCGTAGAGATGGAGAGCAAACACGATGACCACTACAAAAAACAAAACGACTAAGGCGCAGAGCATGATCCTGCCGCTCATTTCGTATCCTTGGTCGCTGTTTCCTTGGTACCTGTTGACGTAGGGTGGCTCCATGATGATGTTTTTTGTGCTCCGGGGAAGGAGGAGGAGGAGGAGGAGGAGGAGGAAGAGTAGATTTAGTAAGGGAGAGGAAGGGGGAAAATGGGATTCGGATTTATTGACAAAAGGAAAGGCCAGGACCTAAAATTTCCTCGCACCTCGTATCTAGAAGTCGCCGCGGTGGACGCGGGATTCATGTTTAATTACTATAATACCCTTGTTGAAATTTCTGGGAAAGACGTCGGCCCAGTTTTAGCCGTGGTTTGGGACCTTGGGTTATGGTCTGATTGGGTGGATCTGACTCCCGGTCTTTATAGAATTTGGTCCTGAACAAATTGGGCCGGGCTCTGTGGAATGATACCCAAAAATGTTCTCCAGCGGGCACTAAATATATTGCTACTATTAAATTTGTTAAAATTATTAATTTAATTGTAATTTTATTAATATATAA